AGTCATTGTGTCAGAAGGAATTGTCTGACACAGAGGAATTTCATGAAATAATATATGAGCAAGAGCTTGTGGTGATGAAGGAGGAAGTTCAAGTTGCTCTGAAGGAATTGGCAAAAAACAAGGCTCCAGGAGTTGACAGCATACCAATTGATTTATTTCAACAAACAGAAACTGCCCTGGATGTGCTCACTAAGTTGTGCCAGGAAATCTGGCCAACTGACTGGAAGAGACTGATATTTGTTCCCATTCCAAAGAAAGGTGACCCAACAAAGTGTGGAAATTATCAAACAATATCATTGATATCACACACAAGCAAGATTCTACTGAAAATGATCCAAAGACGTTTGGAACAATATGTCAACAGAGAACTTCCAGATGTGCAGGTTGGATTTAGAAGAGGTCGTGGTACTGGGGATGTTATAGCTAATGTTAGATGGCAGAGAATACCATTAGAATGGCTAGCTGTGCTTCATTGACTATGCAAAGACTTTTTACTGTGTGGATCACAAGATATGGCTGACTCTGAGAAGAATGGGAATCCCAGAACATTTGATTGTGCTAATGTGAAACCTATACTTGGACTAAGAGGCAGTCATCAGAACAGAGCAGGGAGACATTGGATGGTTCAAAATCAAGAAAGGGGTCCACCAGGGATGTATTTTGTGTCCATACCTTTTCAATCCATATGCAGAATAGATCATCCGAGATGCTGGGCTATACAAGGAGGAATGTGGCATCAGAATTGGTGAAAGAATCATCAAAAACCTGCATTATGCAGATAACACAACCTTGCTTGCGGGAACTGAGGAGGACCTGACGCGCTTGCTGCAGAAGGTCAAGGACTGCAGTCTTCAATATGAATTGAAGCTCACCATCAAGAAAACAAAGATTCTCACCACTGGGCCAATTGGCAGCATCAATATGGATGGTGAAGAGATTGAGATAGTTAACAGTTTTAGTTTACTTGGTTCCACAGTCAACACTCTTGGTAACAGCAGCCAGGAAATCAGAAGATGGATTGCATTGGGAAAGTCAGCTGTGAGGGACCTCTCAAGAATACTGAAGAGCAATGACATCAAGCTGGAGACTAAGGTGCGCCTGATCCAGGCTATAGTCTTTGTAATTACATGCTATGCTTCAGAGAGTTGGACAGTGAATAGGAATGATAGAGAATTGATGCCTTGAGTTGTAGTGCTGGAGAAGAGTGTTGAATATACCATTGACTGCTAGGAGAACAAACAGGTTTGTCCTGGAAAGGGTGAAGCCAGAATGCTTCTTGGAGTCAAGGATTCTGAAGCTTTGTCTGACATACTTTGGGCATGTTGTAAGGAGGGACTGAGGGACATCATGTTTGGTAGAGTAGAGGGGTGGCAAAGGAGAGGAAGACCTTAGATGAGATGGATTGATTCTCTGACTGGGGTGGCGGGAATGTGTACATTTCAGATGGTGG